CTGAGCTAAAAAAGCGTTTCCCAGCACAAATTTTACTGTGGCTCTTAAACTTTCAGTAGTGGTAACGGGAAACAGGTACAACTGTTATCTCCTCAGGACAGGGTGCTGCATTTCATCACTAACTCACTCAATCACTAACTCAATCACTCTATATGATAACCATGAGTCCATTAAAAAGTTACATCTTTTCTTAAAATGCAATTTGGCAGACCGTGAAAAGTTAAAAAAAAAAAAAAAGAGGCTGGTAGTATACATTCTCAGTGATGAATAATTCATTCAGTTTACAGATATAAATGAAAACTTAAATGGTTAAGAGACTTGCCCAAGATCACAAAGCCAGTTAAATCACTTTAGCCATGTCAGGGACGGTAAGATTTCAGGAATGTAGCTTTATATTCCTCCTATATTAAGGACACAGTTCATGCTAAACAGAAAAAAAAGTCTGTGAAAATGATAGTTACTAATTGAGAAAAGGATAGGCTACTTAGGAAACTGTGTAAATTTAAGAAATAATTAAAAGCAACACAATAGCTTAGAATAAAGGTTTATTAGCTTTATTTAATTGCTTTCCAACAAACTGAACACTTTAAGGAATAGATATTACTATTGGTAATTAGTATTCCAATTTTTTAACAGTTTTTCCATGTGCTTAAATGATAGTTTAATTGTTTTAATACTAGAAACTTCACATTAATGTATATCAATTAATAATTTTTATACAAAGGTAAAATTGAGCCTGGTCTATGTCTGAATGATTAAGAAAAAAATCTGTTTAACCAAAACCAAATTTAGGCAGTTTTTCTATGCTGGTACTATTTCCAGACATGTTTTTTTCTTCTGTGGGCTACAGAAGACATGGATTTCTAGGGGTACTATCTATCAATAAAAATGAAAAGTTCTATTCCTTGAGATAAGAGCTCCTACTTTCAGAGAAAGCAAGCCCACTTACGGGAATAATAAAGCTTCCCAGGCCCCTGGTAGAAGGGGTTGAAGCTGGAAGAGATGCTGGGAGTCAAAACATCCATTTCACTGTGTGCATGATAATCATCTATTCATACCACTTGATGGGGGGGGGGGGGGAAGCCTGTAAGTATTTTTGGAAATGAATGAGTTTACTCTGCTAATCATGAATTTAAGTCCAATACCATTAACCTAGGCAAAAATACATTTTTCCTTAAGGAGGGGAAAAAAGTATTGGCTTGAAGCCATAAATGTTTCAGATAGTGTTGAGATTTTATCAATACTTGAGACCCTCTAAAAACAAAATAAATGGAGAAAGAACATGAAGCCTGAACACAGTAGTCACAACCACTGAGCCCCTAGACAGCCCACAAAATGAAAGGTTCCCATGGGGACCAGAGAGCTCTTGAAGAGAGCCCCCCAGCATACAGTTTTGACACTGCCATGAGAAGGTTTTCTTTCCCCCTGGATGCCTGCATTGTTCAGACACTACCTTTTCACCACCCTCCCTAGTATCAGACGTTAGAAACATCTTGTAATGTTCATACTCCACGTACCATCTCAATATTAGAGACCACGTGGACAGGCTTTAGCTGTCCCGACTGCCTCCCGTGCAGTTCAGGGATGGTGTGACGTCACCAGCAAGGTGAGCTGCTGGGACAACCACCCAACCAGGAAAAAAAGGGATCCTTAGGAGAGGAGAATAACCCCCTGGAAACTTTAATCTATGAATGCTACTACTTCAAATAAATAAATATCTTTCTAACATAAGGTGAACATATTAAGTTTTTCTAATTTATAAGCCACAATTTTTAAAAAGTAAAGACTATATGAACTACTTTTTAGTCCAAATGCTAAATTATCATTCAGTACACTCAAGAAAAAGCATGGTTAATATTCCAGTTAAGAGAATTATCCACAAGAGGATTATCAACACAAAAGCTGGTAACGAACTGAACTTCAGCTGCAAAAATACCAAATATTTAGCAAACCTGCCTATTCAAAAAAAGGTATATTTTGGTGGTTCCTAAGCACTAGATCTTACATTTGCTGTCACAAATTACCTGGAAAGCATATTAAAAAACAGACTTCTGCATCTCACCCCTGGACACTGATCTAGCAGGTCTGAAGTGGGTCCTGGTATCGGTATTTCTAACTCATTCTCCTTGTGATTCTGATGCAACCAGGTTTGGGAATAACTGCCTTAGGATTTCGTACAGCCTGAGGGACTTTGCTTCACTCATTGCAGAAATACTGAATATCTGTCATTTATTCAACACACCATCCATCTATTGCACAAAACCCTACTGGGCTAATGCTATTAGGAAGCCCCAGGACAAACTGCTAAATAAACCACCTCTCACAGCACTTGATTCACTGTTTCAATATCCCAATAAGTAGGAATTCTACCATACATATAAATGCTAGTGGGCTTGGAAGACATAGAAATCTGAAGGAGTACACAAACACTTGTATACTTGTGTATAATGTATATATTAATTAATCTACTGTAGCGTTCTAAAGGAAAGCATGGTGTCATGGCAAGCGTTTTGGTGTCGGTATCAAAAGACAAGGATTTGAGTCACAGTTGTCTTCAAATGCCTGGTCTTAGTTAAACTATATGACCTCCAAGGTCTCGATTCTTTTATTGGGGGCAGAGGGTAGTGCTTAAGTCTCCGTTATATATGGGTCCCTTCAATCCCAAAACTTCTGTGGTTCCTCAGGGTAAAAAGAACACATTACAAAGAAAGGGGAACCCAACTCAAGCTGGAACAACCCAGCAAGGCAGCAGCTGAAGGAAGGACTTCAGATGGACTCCAAAAGATGGGATGGCTGCCATTAAACTAAAATGAGTGGGAAAGCTCCCAGCAAGTGGGAGCTACGTAAGCCAACTCCAGAGGCTGGGAATACGACCAGCTTGCAAGTGAAGAACTTGCACGGTCTGACTACCGTGAAGAACAGTAATAACACTGGGTCACCCCAAAGTTAAGCCAAATGACATGGTAAAAACAGTAGGGAAATACAAGAGAACTGTGAGTGAGAAGTAACAGGACGAAAGTGGTGTTTTTGTAAGATTAGCCTGACAGCCACCACCAGGAGGGACTGGAGGAAAGAAAAAGAGACTAATTTATAGAACAGGGAATGGTAAGGCTCAAAAGCAGCTTCCAAAAGATACTCAAAGCAACGAACACTAGAAAAACCTGGCTCAAGATGGTGTATAAGAACACAGACATGTCTAATTGAAAATAAGAAAAAAAACCCAGAAGGAACAGACAAAAATGGTGCTACACAGTTTTGGAAAATGGTCTGCTTTGCCTCAGAGAAATGTGGGCCAAATTGAGGATACCAGCTGTTATCTGATATTTTTGCAGGAACCGAATGGGGGCGGGGAAAGAAGTAGCCTGCTGCTTACACCACCCCCACCCCCATTTCAGAAAATCAGAAGAGAAGTAGCAGATGTCACAGAGTAAAAGCCACAAGGCATTACTGTCCTTTCTTCCCCAATTCTGCCTGAGCAGCTGGGCCCTGAAGAGAAGGCTGGGTGATGGACAGTGAAACAGCAGCTGTCACCAGTGGTCTCTTTACAGGCCACAGACATTTCTTCTGCAGTGACCTGCCTCCCCTGCATTTCTACCTTCTTGTGGACCTACTGCAAAAGAACTGACTTTTAGCAAAAGAACGGACTCACTAGAATGAAATAAGGGTGGTTATTTCTGGAATGGAAAAAAGGGTATGTCCTGAAATGAGCCATTCCAACTATCTATTCCATTTTCTTCTTAACCACAACTCAGGACCTCAAAACTAAGATAAATTAGCAGCAATCCTGGAAATCAATTTAAGCTGGAGAGGCTCGCAAAAATCTGCAGGATAGAGCACACACAAAACAATCTGAAGGTAAGTGGATATTGGATGTTTTCTTTTTAAAAGCACGGTTATTACTTAATAGTACTTGTAAAAGGTTAATCCCTGTGACACAAACAAAAGTATGCAGAGAAAGAAGTGTGGACAGTTAGAAAAAACAGTCCAGACTGAAAAACCAACGTCCAAACAAACTTAAGTATTGGTGATCTCAGAATGGATTAGAAATCTAATTTTTTTCCTCAAATTTTCATAAGACAGTAACCAGACCATTTTCTGGCGGAAGGGTGATTCTTTTCCTAGGACATTTTCTTGATCAAGAAACGTGTAGAATTCTTGGACATATTATACCAAGTATGTTTGGGGGCCACTGCGTACAGTTTCCTTTAGACGAGACAGAGCTGTGAGGTGTTTCTCCTCTGGGCCAATAAATATAAAGAATGAGATGTCAAAACTACCCAGGGCTAACGAACTACCTTAACTGACAACTCTGAGAGAAGCAACTTTTAAGCACAAAGATGACACTGCATTTCCAGATACCTGAAAAAAGGAGCAGAAATCTTCTAGACAAGTCTCTAAGCAAGACGGATGCCACAGTCAGCCTTGACTAACTTCCCGCCACCACTTCAGGCTATAGTCTGAGATGACTTCTTAAATCAAGGGTGGAAAATAGGTTGCAACTTGAGTCAATTGATAGAGGTTGTCTGGAACGCTATTTTGAAAAATATTTGGGAGCCACATCTAGACCCAGTAAGAAAGACTGCTGTGATTGATCGGCAATGTCCACGCTGGGCAGGAGAGAGAAAATTGATGGCACGTTTACTAAGAGTTTGCCAGCGGCAACGTCCCTTTTATTTTCTAAAGGAAAAGAAGTCTACACTGCAAATTGGATTAACTTCTTATCCAGAGAAAATCTACATCAGAATTTTAAAAATTCACAAAAGCGGAAAAATATCCACAAAATTATTTACCATTTGTCTTGAGACAAAAATATAACAGGAAAAATAACGTGTGAGGCATGTAAGCTCTCCTAGTCAATCTCCTGAAAGTAAGGTGAACCTGCCAGAACATAGTCAAACCACAGCCCCAGGACCAAATCCAGCCTGCCTCCTGTTTTTGTATGATCCATGAGCTAAGAGTGGTTTTTACATTTTTAAATGATTGGGAAAAAATAAAAAGACTATTTTGTAACACATGAACATTACATGAAATTCAAGTTTCAGGGTCCAGAAATAAAGTTTTATAGGATTGTGGCCATATCCTTTAGTTCATGTAGCGGCTATGGCTGCTTCAAGCTACAAGGGCGGAGTCAAGAAGCTTGACAGAAACGATGGCTCACAAAGTCTAAGATATTCACTACCCGGCCCTTTACAGAACAAGTCAGCCAACCTCTGTGCTAGAAGATGGTCTGAGGCTTCTTCAAATTATAGGGCAAGTAATTCTCTTTCAAGGAAGGAGATTTAATTCAGTAGGCTTCATAAAATACTTTCTTTTCTAGAAAGTTCCTGCTCTATCCCTTTGTTAATACACCAGTGATTACATATAGCACTCACGAATAAAGTTTCCCCCATCAGGCAACAAGCACAAAAAATTCTGCTATGCCTCCCAGAGAAGTGTCTATATGGGCACAAAATAAATAAAGGAAAGAACTATAATATACCTTAATTTTTTTAACCTCTGTTCTGCAATAAACATAAAAAAAAATTTAAACATACTTTTATTGTTTTGGTTTGAAGTCTCAATCCATTCAGGGTGTTGATAGCTTTTTCTGCATCCTTAAGGTCAATGTAGTTCACAAAGCCATATCCCAAGCTCTGCCCTAGTGAAAGGGAAGGGGAAAAAGGCATACATTAGTTCTACACCACTGATGACAGAGATCCACTTTCACTCTGGCACATGGTCTTCTCATTAACACCAGCATATTTTCTCAATAGTAAAAAGAAGTCTACATCAATTCTTCTAGAAATATACACGTGTTCTTTTTCCCATTTTCTGTCTAGTCCATTTGCAAGTTTAAACATCAGTTAGAACTCAGCAAGCTGTGCCGCTTAAAAAACACACATCCCCAAAGTCTTCCATCATCCCTGTCTTGGCTGAGCCAGGGCGCCCAGCAGCAAGGCGATATTCAGCTTCAGAAACCGTGGGCACGAGTCTCTGCCGAGCTGCTGAGTGGGCTTCATGACACGACTTTTTCAGTTTCAGTTTCCTTACCCACAAAATGGGAAGGCGGTAAGCATCGACCAAGAATCTGTCGTGTTCTATACACCGTACCCTGACAAATTTACAGTCTTTACCAAGTACAGTTATTTCAGAGTTTAAAAGGTGAAGAATCGTGTGTGTGCACACGTGTGTGTGCATGTACGTATATGTACATTTATTTTACAGGAGGGCCTCTTCAAATAAACTGAATCCAATTTTCTAAAATGAGCTGGATGACCTAGACAAGGAATACAGAGAAATATGAACACAAAGATTTATAGTGAGGACATCCAAACCAATGAGAACATGTGGGAAAGGAAGAAGAGAGAGCATAAACAAAAATAACAAAACAGAAAATTTGGAGGTGTGAGAGTTCCTTCAAAATAAGTCTTTTGTTGTTTTTCCCTATCATCCAAGGCCTCTTGCCCCTGGCTCAATGATGGCACAATTCTCAAAAAATGGGAGGTATCAAGGGGTTAGAACTAGTGGAATGCACAGATAAGTACTGTCATGAGCCACATAATGACGTTTCAGTCAACGACTGACCGCATATATGACAATGGTCCCATAAGATTAGTACCATATAGCCCAGGTGTGTGGCAGGCTGTGCCATCCAGGTTTGTATAAGTGCACTCGATGATGTTCGCACAGCAATGAAATTGACTAATGACGCATTTCTCAAAACGCATCCCTGTTAAGTGAAGCATGACTGTAAAGCCAATCCTTAAGGTCTCAATTTTTCAACTAGGGGAAAGTTTCTCCATTTGAAAAGGTGAGAAACACTACAGAAAGGTGACAAAAATGGACATAAAAAAGGTTTAGTCTACTAAAAGTCAAACCAAACTAATTGAGGGTTTCCTGGAAGATGCCTGTCCAGTAAAGGTCCAAATGCTTTTAATTAAATACGGTTTTTGCATCAATTTCATAACGAGGGCCTTTTTCTTGACAGGGCACCTTAGGTCCAAGTCATTATGAACAGAGGTATTTAGAACAGCCACTGTGGTTACCCTGACGTGGTTCCTTGTAACTATACCAAAAAAAAAAAAAGATGATGCTAAGTATAGCATCTAATAACCATGAAAACTTGCGACTGCATTTTGGGGACCACTATCAGAATCTGGGTGTTGTACACCTAAAACTAATATATAATATGTCAATTATACCTCAAGTAAAAAAAAAAAAAAAACTATTTAGGATAATCATTGCTAACTTATGCCCTCTTATCATATTGTAATTTTTCCTGTTTTTAAAAAAACGGAGTGGGGGAGAGCTCAAACTAATTCAGTTATTTTTTCTCACGCTAATCAGAGATTTTGTTTTACTCACAGTTCTGTTTTTAAAAAGCTGCATGCGAAACCACTGTATTTTTAGTCAGCTTTTTACTAATTTGACAAACATTTATCATGTGCCCACGGCATGCAGAGTGCCTCTTATGAAAGGTGCTGCAGTTCTATTGTCACTGAGCAGGATTCAAATGGGTGAACATAACAAAATCTGCTCCAGGCAGTAGTTTATGATGGAAAGAATATAGGTTTTGGGGACAGACACACAGGAGCTCCAATCCTGGCTCTGCGGTTCACCAGCTGTGTGACTTTAAAGAAGCTACTTAACCCCTCTGACTCATAACCTCCTCAATTCTAAAATGAAGATAATGATTTCCACCTCACAAAATTACTGCGATGAGATCTTTCACTCTTGATGGAAGTAGAGCATTCTAGTCAAAAGATAAAGCAAGGAAAAGTAACAATATATATCTACTATATGGAATTTACTATATCCATTTAAAATTAAATCAGGAAGATGCTACAAATACAATGGGGAAAAGAAAGGCAAGCTGAACACCGTGTAGTTTTGTCACACTGCTATTCTATAACAAAATAAATCAGATTACCAATTGTACCAGCATTAAGAGTCCATATCCCCTACGGACTGGCACTACCCTCACACCTGCATTTTAGCAGCTTCTAATCAAAGTGCTTTCTCAACCTTGGTTACACACTGGAATCATCTACAAAGCTTAAAAAAAAACTGATGCCCGAGTCCCACTCCCAAAGATTTTTATTTTATTGGTCTATTACAAAGCACTGGTACTACGTTATTAAAATCCTGGTGACTCTAACATGCAGCCAAGGTTGAGAATCACGTTTAATGGCAAGAGATAATCCGGGGCTACAAACCAGGCTTCTGGGAGCCCTGAGAAGGCCCGAGCGCTGACAGTCCAGGTAAGTGAAGAGACTCTGCAGATGCATTTTTAAGATATAAGTGGATATTTCTTTTCAAATCTTCATGTTATCATCACTTCAGAGAAACAGTTTATTGGCCTGTTGAGGGCGCTCTTGGGCACAGCAGTGCCCGCTGGAATTGGGTCGCTGGGTAAAGTGAAAAGCCTGTCCTGCCAGTCCCTGCTTAGCTGTCTCGCGCTCTGGCCTCTGAATTCTTACTCCTAGCACACCTGAGCATTCAAAAGCTTGCTAAATGAACAAATGAGAAGCATAGTGGGGATACGTATTTAACCAAAGAGATTATCTTCAACATCCCCATCAAACGGCCCATCCATTGAATGGGTCTTTGACCTGAACCCCTCAAGAAATCATGGCTAGTTATAATAATGAGTCAGCCAAATTTCTACTACCTGTAAATTGAGTACACTCAGACAATATCTATCCCCAAACGACCTCTCCTCCACGAACAAAGTTTCTCATTTGCTTAGTGGCATTATTAGGAAGAACACCACCCATCAATTCGAACGTGTTTGACGTAAACAAAATTTTACTATTATCCTAAGCAAAATAATATGAAAGAAGATATCTGCTGCTAAACGGCTGCTTTCCTAAATTCATTGTAGTAGATGCACTAACGTGTTGGCAACGGAACTACAGGGAAGTTAGGAACTTCACAGATTTTCATTTTACAGTGAGTCAAGTCAGCAAATATTTATTGGATGTTTAAAATATATAAAGGTATCACAGATAATACCAAGACAGGCAAGTCTCTCCCCATTCTCACCTTTTAGCTGTGTGTTATTTTATTGTTTAAATTTAGCCTCACATTTATCACACGAGATACTCATATTCCTCTCCTGAAAGGAAGAAATGCTATCCTAAGCAGGGCAAGGCCAATCAACTTCCTCACATCAAAAAGACAGGTTGGAACTAGTGGTCAGGACTTGAATCCCGAGTTCTCAAATGCTATGGTCTTCTTCACTCACTTCACAATTAGTGTATATCTGAACCCAGACCATCCTCAATACCCCTTACGTATAACGTAACCAGGCATTTTATAACAGGGTTCTACTACTAAAAATTGTTTTGAGACCGCTGCCCACTGTCTCAAATTCCTGTACTTCTTGTGCCAATGTCAGTTTCACTATATATAAATTTCTGTGCTGTTATTCATTCCTATGACAATGTAAATTGCATCTTATTTATATAGTGCCTATTTCAAGTTATTATAAGAGTGCAGATTTTTAAAAAAATAAAAGCAGTAGCAAGTCAAACGTCAAGAAACAATACTTACCCTGGATCCACTTTTTCCCACTTTCGTATTCATCAGCTAGTAATAGTCATAAACCACCAGGAAAGGCTTGGAAACCAAGCATCATTTATCCCTATCATCCCAATCTGTGTTTCAAATCATTCTGAATTGTGCACACTGACAATCCCAAAACCAAGAATCGCTTACTTAAAAAATTTATAAAGCTCTATATTTAAATCCCAAGTATAACCATTATGGAAACCAACACGATTAAAAGAAAATTCTGAACAAAATGACAAAGCGAACACTTTTCCAAAAGAGCCTTCAAGACAAATAAATCCTGTCTTTAGAAGCCAAAAAATTCCTTCCGGTAACTGAACATCAAGAATAAGGTCAACACTACTTGTCCTCAGCTCTCCTCACTAGCTACCTGTGGTCTTCTGCTCCTAGGGACTTGGGAATCATTCATCTAAGCCTTGGTCCTAACAGCCATGGCAGGGAGTCTAGAACTTCCTAGAGAGGAAGCTATCTGAAGAGTTACACAGCCTAAGACCTTCATGCAGGTACTGAAAACTGCAGGTCAACACCGCACATCAGCACAGGTATTCTGTACACAGTGTATGTGAATGCCTTTTGTTTTGCATCCTCCTTTTTAATCTAACGTATATGCCACAGAAAGGGATCCGTTCTTCACAAGTGATAGAAAAATCACTTGGAAACTGCTCCTGGCATAAGGAGAGCAGTTACAAACAGGCTGCTTAGAACCAAGGTCCAATGATGGGACAGCATTGAGTTGCAACACTCCACGGGCCTCTGAGCAGGACCGAGGCCCATCGAGAGCACGGGGTCAGAGCAGGAAGAGGAAAACAGGAAGAGAAGCCATTTAGTGACTAAGTGCTGGTGGGAAACACAGGAAACTCCAATTTATCCCAAACTGTGCATAATTCAAAGCTGCAGCCATTCCCTTGCCACCTACATTGCTTTTAATAGCATACTTTAATTAAAAATTTAATTGCATATTTTAATTAAAAATATACAATCTTCTGGACCCATTTAATTCAAAGGTCACTTTATTTAGTCTTTTCCATTTCAAATTACTACCAATGTTCAGAATATCAAATTACCCCCTCAGGTTTAAAGGTAAAG